GAAATTTTTACATTATACCTCGAAATGTAAGGCCAGTTTTTCTTACGAATTTTCGAGCTTTTTTCGAATGAAACTGCTACTATTATATATCGTTCGACTCCTCACGAAGTTCATGAAACTCTTTTTGTTGTCACTACGACCTAGTTATTCACGAAAAATACGAGAAAATGTATATAATACATTCCTCTGTCGGCAGACCTGGCTAATTTATGAGTCTTCGCTTTTGCACAAGCTTTTGTACGGTTTTATAGAAGCAAAAGAGCGCACTGGAGTGTCGTGTATGCCGAATGATAGCTGCTGTCGAGATCCGTTCAATGGTGTGTCATATATGTGCAAAAAGACCGATTTCGATATATTGCTTAGGATAAACTCCTTAGAAGAGTAGTCGTAACTCTGCGTCTCGTTTATCTCAGCTTTCTGAGATGTGGTAGTCGGGAAATTTTTACCACAGACTCAGTGAATGATGGGCAATAAAATGCACCTTTTAAATTTTCAAAAGGATCACTTTCATTTTCTTTTATAAATTGTACAAAAAAGTTGCAATTGACTCATATATATATATATATACATACATTCAGACCTTTCTTGTTTTCTTTCTATTTTTCACTTTTCACTATTCAGTCACTTTTCATTCCTATTGAATATTGATTTTTGAAATAAAAGGTCAATGATCGTTGTGTGCATACGATTGATTATTATTCGCTTTACTAAATTATATTACAACAAATAATATTGATATATATATACCTTTAAAGAAATTATAAATAGTTTATTGTACGAATCAGACAAGGTAAATCTATGAACTTTCCTCCTAAAAAATTTTAATCAAGGTCACGACTCTATTACCAGGAATGAGAAAACCTCATTTCTTTTAAATGATTTGTCAGATGTCCTTTATTTTTGAGAAATACATATATATTATGCTGTATTGAGTTTTTTCTTCACAATACGTCAAGAGTTTAATGTCTTCAGTCATTTCCTAGCGAAGGGAAAGTTCTTCGTCACAAAAGAGGCACAATTCGAAAAACATTATCAGTTGTTCCAAGTCAAATATGTAACGGTAATGTTTTCAAAGTTCAAAATTCACTAGAGGAGGGAAAGTAAAAAGAGCAAAATTCGTTTGGTAGTAATTTTCTTCAAAGAAACTTACAGAATACAAGACAAACTATGTTAATCCATGATGGTCACAACTTGTATATTCTTCTTTCTATTTTAGTGTATATTATTGATTAATATTTTTTACGAAAAAGTCTATTTTTTTCTATGGATCTGGTTTTCTACATTATTTCTAATAAGTATAATTAATTTTATTTATACAATTTACAATAATCTCACAATTTTTGGACGTAATTCTTATGTTAAGAAAATGTTACGTTTAGCTGTAGCCAAAGAACAACATTTAGCACCATCTATTGAATTACAAGACGAGAATGAAAATACTATGGACGATACAAATTTAATTTCAAATTTATATTCAAATAGTAAACGTTTAACACATTTTGTACATTGGCTGCAACCAGATGGCGTATTTTTATTACATTTATTAAATCACCATGTGAATGAATTAGTAGTTATTAGTTCTCTAAGTGAATTGGCAGTGATATGGACTAAAACGTATGAAAATAAAGCAAATTTAGCACAAAACTTATTGAGAAATAATTTTAGTTTTCAGTGATTGTAATATTTTATTTTTATCTTAATAATCTCATGAATAATCGACCAGGCATTTGCGAATGTATTAGTTTTGCATTAAAAAAATAAAATAACAGGTATATTATTCATACGCTCATATTCTTCAAGTAATGCTTGTACTGCCTCTAGTCAAGTCGCTAATGTTAAAACAAGAATTGAACATTCAGAAGCTAAAATTCAATCAAGACTAAATAAAAAAAAATTTGTTCATTGTTTTCATAGTACTGAATTGGATTAATCTCGATGGAGTGCGTACGTCAGTATAATTGCACGGCGTGATCAGCTAACGGTCATCCTTTGGATGAGCAGATTCGAATTTTTGTTTTTACTCAAACAAAAGTTAGAAATACATCATTAGACGCAATTTTACGCGCTGATCAAGAATCTGAACTCAAAAACAAATTAAAGTTAAATTTTCGTGGTGAAAATTTAAATTTTAAATCCAATTTTTTTTGACGTAGATATTTTTTTCAAAAATTCTGGAAACTATACTATCGAATAGAGTATCAAATTTTCTACAAAATACCTCATTTGTTTTCCTGTATAGATGCCAAAGTTTTTCTGATTTTCTAAAAAAGGTTTTGAGCTCTTAATTTGTGAGCAAACTATCTATCTATGTGCAAATCAGAGCTTGATAAGTAGTTCTGTGACACAAAAACTATATATCAAACAAAGCGGGTCAAAAAAAGGTATAATTCCGTATTTTTGTATTTTTTCATGCTCTAGTCACTCAAATTAAAAACTAAGTAGATATTCTGAAAGCTCGTTGAAAACTGCATAAGTTTTGTATAGAGCACTTTTTTTATCTGCTGCTTTACTCGGGAACAAAACGCGAAATTTTAAACGCGAATGAACAATTAATTATCGGGAAAATTTTTGAATTTGATACTGATGTGTACCCGTACTGGTAAAAACATTATGCATGTTTGAAAATAATGTTAATAATATATTTTCATTGATAACAAAAAATATTTTGTTGTACATCTTTGTAAATAAATGTCTTGTACCTAGTTTCAATATGTCCAATTTTCTATAAGTATTTATAACGATTATCTATGTGAAGTGAGTGTATACGTTCATCTTTTATCTATCAAAATAATTCGATTCTTTTCACTAGCACATAGTTGATGAATACATTTTCATTAGTATGTTAAACTTGGCGAGAATGTGTTTTTATTTATTTAAAATAAATCTTTAGTTATATTAGCCGATATTTGCTAAGTATAGCTGAGTTAAACATGCTTTTCATTTTATATCATTTTTGATAAACGCTTATGGTCAATTATTTGATGTTTTTGAATTTCATTGAACCTTCAGGTGAGTACCGACTCAGAGAAATATTTTTCAATAAATTTGATTATGATGCTAACCAACGAACGATAAAAACTGTTTGGAACAAGGAATTTTTTCTTCATATCTACACCGAGCAGCTGTTGACCCCCAGGAAAAGATAGTAGATATCTTAAGGACAAAGAATTCAATTTTCGTCTAGTCTAAAATATTGACACCTTTTCTAGTTTTGAATAAAATAGAAATCTCCAACGTTTCTTCTTCGGTCAGTTTATTTTTGTTCAAATAAGAAAAAAGTTGAGATTAAAATCTACATAACACGTATCGATAGTCTTTTGAAGTATAGATAAATAGTTCACTAACAAAAATAGTTTATGAAAGCACTCTTAGATATTAGAAAAGAAAAGAATTCAACAACGAAAATAAAACATATCAAATACTCACAATATACAAGTGAAAGATCAACAACGCAAAAAATATCAACACTGTTAAAATAGAAAATACATTATCACCAAAACTATATCATTATTCATAGAACCGCGATCGATTTGTTTTTTTACTATCACGTTGATATCGATCATATGGACTATAACGACGATGATTTCTATCATACGGTTTTTGCTCGTCGTTTGATGGGACATGCTGCCACGAGCCACCAGGCGTTGGTAGTAACGGTACGCGTCGATTATTGTCAAATGCTGATCGATTATTAGATTCATATTTGTCAATAGTTTTCGCTGAAGATGGATGACAGTTATGATTGTATGATATTGATGTTTGATGCTGATCTTGTTCATCATGAAACTGAGCAGAAAAACCATTAATATTATTATTATTATTATTAAAATTCAAAGAATTTGGACGATTATCAGATAAACAATAGTCATCTTTCGTCAAATTCAAAATAGGCCTATGGTCATTTAATAATGGTTTTAAACGAAAATGATCACCGTTGTTGTAATTATTAGACGAATGTCCATTTTGGTATTTGTTCGGTTTTAAACGATTTGTTTGACATTTTGTTTTTTTCATTGATATTTGAATTGGTCGATCTACAAGAACAAGCTCAGCACTGATTCACATATTCTTTTTTCAAATCCTTACTTAACAGATGTTCACCATGCATATTCATAGCCATCCTGGCTGAATCAATATTTTCAAATTCAATAAATGCTACACCCAACGACTCCCTTGTTTGTAAATTTCTAATTACCGTACAACGTTTTATATTTCCACAATTGATAAAATATTGTCTTAATTGGGCTTCATCGATTGTCTCATATAAATTTGAGATATGAATACTACGCTGATCACTCTCTGTTTGTATCGCAGATTTAGTACCATTCATTACTATCTAGAGATATAAAATGGTTTAATTTTCACTAGGTCTGAGAAGCGTGTGAAAATTTTCTTTCTCAAGAAAACAAACGAGATGTTATAGCATTTTTGAACAAGAAAATCTTATTCAAATGAACTAAATACGAGAAGATGATATACAGCGATTTTAAAACCGTAACTATGAGAGAAAAAGAATTTAGATCACTTGAAAATCAAATAACAAGTTTCATTTGTGAGGAAATTCTTCAATTTTTCAACTGCAAACCTACGTTTTCAGATGGATATAAATGATGTAAAGAAATAAACAAACAAGAAAACCAATGATGCGGCATCAATTCACTACCATATTGCAACTGCAAATTTTGTTTGCTTTCCTAGATGACCTTTTCCTAGATGACCCACCATAAAGGTCAAGATACGCTAGACTAAAAGCTAGCCCTAAGTCGCTAGTGTCATCGTGAGTTTACGTTGATGGTGGCAACTTAAGTCTAGCTTTCAGTCCTAGCGCACCTTGACCATAATAAATGCTTATTTTTAAAATGATATATGAGATTGAGTGGTCGGTAAATTACGGGTACGGCTCCGACTGTAAATGATTGGTGATCTGAAATCTAGATACGAATGCAGTTTATGCTGGGATAATGTCTAGTTTACATAAAGCAATAGGAGAAGAATGAAGCAGTAATAACCATTAGAACACGTGCAAGCACACCTGAATGTTATGAGTAACAGAATTATAGTCCCTCTCAGAAATGCAACTAGCTGTCGCCATGGTAGATAGCCAACCTTTTGCTGTCTATGGTTACTGTTTAGGATAGGGAATACGCTCGTATCTTTAACAGAAGTGACAAAAAAATATACTACCTGAAACTTTGCTTTGAGTCTGACTTGACTTGATCATTGAAGCACATACATTAGATTTCAGTTGTGAAATGCTTAACAAATTGTTTACAGTCACTACCCAGGTCGACGAAAACTGATATTTAATTGTCCATTAACAGCCTGTTAACTGTATGCCAAAAAATGGCCTGTTAATTGTGTAAAAATCGAATGAAAATTGGCGTTTAACAGCCATTATAATGACAATTTTTTGACTTTGAAATAACGGTGAAAATAATGTCAGATTATAGGCAGTGTCTGAAAAATTATCATTTTACGAATTCCATTAAATGGCATTTTCGTCCATTTATTAGACCGCGTTAACTAATGCCAAATAAATGTGGCCGTTAAATGTCCGTTTTTCCTCCATTTCAAAATGGCAAAAATCTGGTCATAAAATGGCATTTAACAGCCAGTTTATGGTCACCAAGTCATTCACTGTTCTATTCTGCCGTCATGAATAGTATAAATGACTCTGATTTTCCTAAAATAATTTAGAGCGTTTCTCTTCTTCAATTATGCGAGTCATAGAAACTTGCCTCGAAGAAGTGGTCTGTGGTTCTTGACTCGATGCAGGTGATAGTACCTCAGGTTCAGAAGATATTTTTTTGACATTTTCTAACGGTCTAACAATTGATATTTAAATGGCAAAAAAATGTGACCAGTAGGGTTACTGGCAGTAGTTAAATGCCTGTTACTTGACCGTTTTTTGACATTTAAAAAAATGCGAAATAAATGCATTTAAACGTTCCCAGTTATAATGGCAAAAAACGGCCTAAAAACAGGGTCAAATGTCATAAAAATGCCATTTAAATGCTTATTAACAGCGTATTAAATGGCATTTAATTACACCGTTTTCGACGTCTTGGGATATATGAGAACAAGTTGTTGTTTCTCTTTTGCAGGAGCAAAAGAAGTCTGGATATTTTCCCAAATCCACATCGTAAACCGTGTCAATTGAATGATTTGACCAAAACCACGCCTGTACCCGGGGAAAATTTAACACGATCATGGTCAATAAATAACTGTGATTTTTCTTGAAACATTATACTTATCCAGGGCTAGAAGTTTTAGAATTGATAAAACAATAACAGCAGCTGTTTCTAGATTCATATTTATTTAATAAAAATTAAAATGTAATTTTAATTTTTATTAAATAAATGTGATTTTTCTTGAGCTGATAGTGCTCGAATTTAACGACATCGAATTAAAAATCAACAGCAAGCATGAGGAGTACAGCGTTATTGAAGAAAATGGAGGAGACGAAAAAGAATGTGATCGTTCATTTCGTGTTGGTGTCTGAGTAACTTCATTATTTGAACTAACATATTGCACATATTTAATACTTTTAACAACCGTGTCGGGCGAATAAACAGATACTTCTTTCAACAGCAATCTATCATGTTCATATTGTTTCATGTTAACTGGTAACGTGTATTTACCTAAACAGAAAAAAAGACTATACAAAGAACTGACATTTCTTATCAATAAAAGAATTTATTTGAGTAATTCAAGTAAAAAGGACAGCAAGTAAATGTTAAATCATAAATGAAATTGTGAAAAAATGATAAACGAATGAATATTGAACGGCATGCTGCAGCTGATCTACCTCGCTTACTAACACCACAAAAACTTCTTAATTCAATAACATAATAGCCCTGAACAGACAGAACGACACGATCGATCGAAAAATGACAAATTTTGCTGTTGTTTGTACACGTAATTCAATGCCCCACTGACATTCAACGTAATTTCACTATAATCATCAAAAATCTCGTATTTTTCAATCTCCCATCTTTTTCCCTGCTTACAAAAATTGGTAGATAGAAAGAACTGCACTGCGTCAGTTACAGTCATATTATCTTATTGCCTAAGATCTCAATCAATACATTTTCCAGAAACTGTGGTGTCCATTTTATTTTTCTCTTGTTTAGTTCTTCTTTGTACTCCTTTTCCGTGCCAGTTCGAAAAAGTCAGACACCTTCAATAGATTTGCTGTTGATCTTCATCTCCTCCGTTGGCATGTATCCATCTTTTTATATTTTTACTGAGATGATTGTGACATCGAAACTGCTGAAGTCATGAAAATGCATTTTTGAATGCATTCTCGTCATCCGTAACCAATACACTACGATAAGACGAGAAAAAAAGTCGAGAAGGTAGTGATCCTCTTGTTCGGACAGATTTGCAGCAGAAAAAAGGTCTTTCATTCATCGAAGAAGTTTTTTGATCTTCAAGCTGAAGGCTTGGGCACGTTCTGCATCTCTGGCTGTTGGTCTCACCACTTATCTTGCAACTGTGGACATAATTTCTTTAATATCATCACGAATTCATCATGGCTTGCTTCTTGTTTCGTATCATGCAATAGAAGAAAATAGCCGGTTGGTCTTTATTAACAGGATAATGATAGGATAAACAAGAAACGTGGTTATCTAAAACAAATTAGTTGGCATTTAAGGAGGGTGACAGTAAAACATGAAGGCACCCACAGACACTTACAGACAGCCACTGACAGCATACAGACCCCCACAGTCAACCAGAATTAACTACACACATATCCACTTCTACGGACATGGGAGCGACACAGAAGTGTATGTTTGTGTAGTTATTTTTGGTTGTCTGTGGGTATCTTCATGTTTTACTATTATCCCGTTTAAGGATAAAAGAAGTGACATGATGCTTACCCGTCAAATCAAAAGTCGTATCGTACGATAAGACTACTTGCTGGTTTGGTAGCTTCAACAATCGACTGAAAAAAACCGTTATCGTACTAAATCAGGGTGCCACAAATAAAAACATCTCTTACCAATTCTTTCAGACCATCATTCCTAATAATGACGACAGACAAAACTCCTTGAATATAGCAGTCAAGTTCCTTAGCCATAGAGAATATGTTACCAAGTTCATCATTCGACACACCGTATGTCTCCAGTTCCTTTCGTCTCTGATATCTCACTTGATTTTCGATAATCAACTTACCAAGATCAACTTTACTAACTGTTTGTATACAACTGCAGGCACGTCATGTTTCACCATATTAGTTATCGATGCCGACACTGATGGTTTTGGTCTTTTATTCTATTTAACGTTAGCAATATTACCTAAAATGGAAGAAGAAAACCGACACAAAGAATTCTTTTTGTACAAACTGCAGCATTCACTTATCTGATAGCTATTTTAACCACACTAGTAATGTATACATAAAACCATAATATAACAAAAACAAAAGATGAAATACGAGTGGAAAAACGAAGTAGATGTGCATGTACAAAAAAACTTAATGACTTTTGATTGCCATCATACTGAATAACAACATCGTATTCGCATTGCATCGGAACATAAACAGTTTTAATAAATTTTTTATTTTTTCACCATTTTCGTTTCACGACATATTCGTATTTTTTTAAATAAGTATGGTGATCTTGAATCGTCTAACGGAGACAATAGAGAAATACAAGTTACCTTTTTATAAATAGTTTAAGCAAAGACTCCTCGTTCAACAGCAAACGTGGTTGAACGTTTTTTCACGACCATATTTTGTGATTATTTTTGAATAATCATCACAAATGATTGTTCACACTTTTTAACCCTTGTGAACTATTATTAATGTATAGGAGTTTGATAAATGACTACGTTGAGTCCTAATACAATATTTTCGTCAATCATTCAGAAATTTTTTTATAAGAAACATAGTCATTGACAAGAAAAATCAACCATGTCGATTAAATCAGAGTGTACCTGTGGCAAGAAAACGATGCGAAGAGTACAGTAGCCGTTTAGGCTCATTTGTGCGCACACATCGTGCATTATTCTACTTTTATTCGTATTTGTCTTCTATGCAATTAATTATTCTACAGAAAATAAAATTCACACACAACAAAAGGACAGATTTCAATCGCACAATGAAAAAAAGTACACGAAAATTGATCAACACAATGTTGAACATAATAATGGTCAACAAACATCTATATTCCATACAGATTATAGAAGAGAGAATAGATAATTGAACATATCAAAAAAATAAACATAGTCGCAAAAAGAAAAACAGAGAGAAATCACATATTTAAAATGAGAAAGAGCAAATTACCAAGCTAATTGAGGTAAAAACCATGGTAGTTTTCAATGACTAAGTTATCTCTCTATTTTTGTTTTTTATTTTCTTGTTAATTAAATGTTGACTAGAACATTCTTCTTGAGTCAAATATTGTTCAAATTGTTCTATTTTAACTTGTAAGTCATTTAATTGTTGCTGACGTTTTTCAACATGTTGTTTGAGTTGTTGAACAAATTTTTCTTGATCATAATCACCATGCATTGTTTGTTCATAAATATTTCGTAAATCATTTTTATTCAAATCATCAGATTTTAATACATCTTGACAACAATCGAACACTTCTTCTTCATATTCTTGTAAATGTTCAATGGCGTTCTAGAAATAGAATTTAACAGAATAGAAATTAAAGCACATTTCAATTTATTAATTAGTTACCGTATAACTTTGCATTGCTTCATCCAATTCAGTATCCACATAGTCATTGTCTTCATCATTATCAAAACCGTTTTCTTTGTCATCGGCTGAATTCAACTCATCTACGAAGAAAAAGAGCCGTATGTTTAGAAAATTAAAGAGTTAATTACTATTTTGTATGACTGCTAAGACAACGATTCTAGACTTCATTTTTCGAGCTGGTGATCACATTGTCTAATAACTTGAGACTCGTACCACTCATATAGAAGTCATTCTTCAACAACAAATACTTTTTTCAGAAATGATCGTGTAAGATTGTGAAATAGAATAGAAGATGTTTCAATTTAATCAAGATCCAATTAAGTAGTAAAGTGGGGGTTGCAGTAAAGTGAAACTCTTTATGAAAAAATATTTTCTATTCAAACTGTAGAATTTTTCTTTATGATAAAACAGAAATATCTTAAGTACCGGTTTGTTCATCGTTGTTACCATTTTTTGTTTTAATATCATCCATTCGTAGTTCCTTCACTCTATCAGCATAACGTAATGTATTCATAGTATTTTCAACATCAGAATTCGAGGGACTGATCATTGCAATCATGCATACTTTGGATTTTTCACCAATAAATGAATCACGTAATACTTTTGTTAGTGTTGAACCACGAAATGGAACATGATGACCTAAATTAACGAATGTAACATCACCTTTAGCATTAAATCACTTTCTGATTAGTAGTCGAGGTCTAAAGCAGTGAACTACTTGTACCACTAACTATCTCTAACAAATTTACTTACCATCTCCTCTTCCCAACGCTCGAATACATTCTTTTAATGCTAATAATGATTTATTGATTTCACTTCCTTCCATGCGTTGTAATCTATCACCGGAAGCGGTATCTTTTCCTCGTTCACTACCAGCTAAATCAATTAATGACATTTTTCCAATTTCTTTAATATAACGTTTACATTGTCCATTTTTTGTTATTGATGTTGTCGGTTGTGATGCTTTTAATATTATTTGTAGTACAGCATGACTACGAGATGAATTGATATTTGCAGCTGTTTGCCCACTTGTACGAATATTCATGCCATGTTGAATAATAGTTAATACATCTTGAACATTTTTAACGTGTTGTTCTTTACGGTCACATATTTGTACGAGTCCTTTTTGATCTTCCAAAACTCGTAAACGTTTCTTATTGTTTAATAAATCATATACTTTTCCACAATAAATTTCATAAAAAGTACAATAAATATCAATTTGTTGTTTAAAACGTTTTTCATATCGTTGAAATATGTCACGTGTCGTTTGTGCATATATACCATGACTAAAATCGGCTGTTTTACACGATAAATCACAACCCATTGTAAACGTTTTACCTAAACGCAAACGTGATGCATACGAAACAATTTCAATTTGGAAAAGACAAAGATTATTATTATAAAAAAAAGTTACTCACTAGAGTTTATGAATAGTTAGTAGCTCAAACATCTTGTTACCCGACAAAGGTCTCCAATGATTCTGATGAAATTTCCTCTTTCTCTTGGACTGTGCATTAAAAAAACATTGCTCAGAAGGAACTGAAACATCTAGTCTAAGTGAACTTACCACTTCCGGTTTGTCCGTACGCAAACACAGTAGCATTTCCACCATTGAAAACAGTTTCAATTAATGGTTGTGCTGTATAACGATAAACTAATTCATTTGTCGATTTTTCATCAAAAGCAAAATCAAATCTAAAACACAAAAATTATACCTAACATACTGAGGACAAATTGACACTGCAGTATGTGAACTGCAGCAGTTCACATATACAAAGGACAGTTCTACTAGTCAGATGAGAGAATAAACAATTCAATTTACCTAAATGTTTGATTATCTAAAAGTTTTGTTAAATCAACTTTTGTTTTTGGCACATGTACAAGACAATGATCTTTATTTGGTATTGTTATAACATCATTATCTTTTCGAGCAATTTCTTTTTTATTTATTGGTCGTTTTCGAACGCAAACACATATACGTAAATCTTTTTCGATATATTCCAAACTTGTAATCGGCGTATAGGATAATGTTGAACTAAAATCGACAGATTAATTATGAACAAAACGGGAAGAAAGCATCTTTAATCTTTATCTTAATTTACCGATAATCTAGTATCATTTGTCCAAGTGGTCCATTGTAACCAACTGTACTATGCATAGTTTGTTGTTCAATAACTGTCGCTGGTTGTACAACATGTAATCGACTTAGACGTCTTTCGTTTGGTTGTTTGTTATTTGTTCTATTTATTGGTTGTACAATAGGATCTGGCGCTGGAGATGGCGGAGCTGGATTAGTGGGCGTTGATGCGAGAGACGATGATGTTGTTGTGGCTGAAGAAATCGGTTTTATTTGTGAAACAGTTGAATTCATTTGTGGACGACGAATTGATCGAACAGCTATTGTTGATGGTTGTGGTTTATTTAAAATTGAAGAAGTTGTTGGCACAGACGTTGAACTCTGAGCATTATTTTTTATTTGTAATAGTTGAGGTGGTAATGTTGGAGGTGGTCGAATAGAATATTCACGTTCAAATGTGTCAATATCCAATGTTAAACGAGTTTGTGCATCATTCTTGTCAGAAGTAATTTTACTAATATTATTATTAGCTAATTTTCGTGTCATTCGATCATGAGTAATATCTTCTAGTGGTTGAACAGCAGCTGTTGGACGAACCGTTGTTTGTTGTTGTATGACTGATGGTTGGGATAACAATGTTTCGTCATCAGTTAAACGTAATTCTGGATTTAATTCATAAACTAAATCTAACAATATTTCTTTGCCTTTTACATCATTGTTTTCTGTCCATTCAACACCAACAGATTTTGATTCCAGATTTAATTGAACAACTTTAGCCAAATGAATACGACCATCAGAACGTTTTATTTTTATTGTTGTGGGCATTTTAATCAAACCAAAAATTTTATTATCCATATTCATGTCAATAAATAAAAATAAAAATCGATAAAATTACAAAAATAACTAAAATAAAAGAACAGAAAGCATAATTTAGAAACTCCTGTGATACTTGTCCAATTTAGGAAGTAAAAAAGTTACATCTTATCAACTTTCCGAACTAAAAAGATAGATAGATACAGACTGTTCTTGAATCTTCTCTTAGGAAAAAAGATTAATTCTACTCACAAAGGAATCTTTCAGAAGGTAGAGTGGCTATAATGTAAATTTCTAGAATAGATACGTATTTCGTGATGCTAATAGTTTGTGCCAAGTTAATAAAAGCGTTTCATACGCATCAAAACGTCGCGGCTCTGCACAAGAGAAGAATTGTGGCATAAAAGATAATCCATCGATAACTGTGAAAACTGTTCTACAAACGGTAAAATTCTTATGAGAAATTTTAACATGTAATTAATGGATAAACCTTTTTTCTCATCATTTCTTTATTACTGTTTTGAAACAACGAAACTTTTGTTACAACTTGAAAGTTTTCTTTCACATGTATGTCATGGACCAAAACTGGTTTATAATTTTGTACAAAATAGAGGATTTAGTTGTGCAACATATAAATTTCGTTCACACTGATCATGGTCCACGATTGATACGTTTTTCATATGGAACTCAGTTAGTTGCAATCGAAACAGTTGATTGTATGATGTTTTATAAGTTATTGTGTGATTGAATCTTTTCAACTAGGACACGAAAACTTAATAGATGAAACATTTTCTTTACTTGGATATACCGTATAAAACTTATCGGAGTGCTTTATCGGTTATACAATCGAGAGAATATTTAAAAACAAAGAAGGAACATATGTAAATAAATGACAAATAAATAATGAACATCTGGTGTCGAGTTTAGCAGTCTTTTTTTAGAATGACGCATTAAAAATAAAATAGATCACATCAGTTGGATGGGATAATTAAAATTTTTTCTGACTTATTATTCATGCACACAGATAGATAGTGCACCTCTGTATAATATACCAAATAATCTTTCTGATTCGTAAACTACGATTACAATAAAAAGATAGTAACATTACCGTGTTCACAAAGAATTTATTAAAACGTGTTTAATGGTAACAGACTAGTCACTTCTATTCAATATTTTTCTATTGCCTTAAAAATTAAACCTTTGTCGATTTTATACTTGTGATTTTTTTTTTTTTGAAAAGCATAAAGTGACGTACTATATGATCGATGCTCAGTTAGAAGAAATATGTCTGTTGAACTGGAGGGTCTATTCTTCATTGTTTCATCGCATAATTTACTAGTATATATCATGGTTTTATCTCTCTTTCTCTCTCTCTCTTACACAATTTTTGTATTATACAATAAAAATGATGATGATGTACTATTTATTTGAGAGAGTAAAGAAAAATCCTTTAAAAAATCAATCTCTTTACTTACAAAAAATGTATCATTTTATTCTTTCGTGCGTATAAAACAGAGTAACAGCTGTTTCATGTCTAGTAGAAAAAAAAATTATCTGCTCGAATAATTACATCATCAATGGCTGATTCCAAGTGTTACTTGTCATCATAGTTATCAATAATATAATTAGCACTCCACTAACTAGGAAAATATGTAGATGATCTATCTTTTATAATCATGGTATGAGCATCGTGTATCATCTTCTCTAGTAGAATAAAATATATTTTCAGTCAACAATATCAGAAGAATGGAAACAAGCGAAAAAATCTCCGTCTTTTCTTTCGTATATTCATCGATGTTAAATCTTGGCTAGCGAAAGACGACTTATGTTTCCCAAATGTGACGTTTTAACAAAATATGTGCAAAAAAAATTGTATAGCATTACTCAGAAAATAGTTAAGCTTTTATCCATTTACAGTGAAAAATTATGGCGAACGATGATCATTCACGGTCTGAATATATTTCTATTTTCGTAGAAGTAACAATAATAAAGTCATTTTGGAAAAAATCAAGGAAATATTCCAAATATAATTAATTACTTGGTTCTACATTTTTAATCGAATCATACCATTTGTTCTAGTAATATAAAGTCAATGTTCCTAATTATGACAGAAAAATTTTCGGTTTTCGTTAGTTTCTATTTGTTCAGGCGTTTTTAAAAGATAACGAATGAGAGCGGGAGGACAATTTTCTATTCAATCATATAAAATCTTTAAAAACTAATTTAGTATGCCTCAATTACAGTATCAAAAAGAAGAGGCATAGTCGTGTCCTCTATACGTTTTTCCATGATTCAGCTCTGTTTTGTTCCTTATTATATAACAACTCCGTTCATGCCGTTTTTGGGTATTGTGAGAAAAAGGTATAATTGCTATTCGAAGTAAAAAAATCGCTATATGGTCCTGAAACAACAAATGTTCACTCAATGAAGGGCTACACATTCATATAAAGTGAGTCTAAATGGATGAGCTTTCTGCATGCAAAGTTAATGGAAACTGCCAAAGTTTTGCAATTGTATCTGATTTGGTTAATGTACCTTTATTCTTATAAAAGCGAAAAAATACAATATTCCTTCAAATACTATACGACTTCATCATTAACAACCATTATTAGTATCTAAATCTGGAGGATGAGTTTATCTATCGTTGAATAAAGAACGTTCTTAAGGTTCATAAATGAGCTTCTTTATTCAACGATAGATAAACTCATCCTTCAGATTTGAATACTAATTGCTTCTCATGCTATTTAACCTCAGAAAATTATCCTATCTACATTGGAATCAAGAGTTCATTGTCTTTTAAAAAGCAACTGGACAAATAGAAATAAACGAAACTTTTCCTGTCATAATTAGGAACGCTCAATCTGTATTAGAAACAATGTTAAAGTAAAATCGTATTAATACTAAATAGTTCCTTTAAATTACATGTTAAGTTTTTTTCTTAGAAAAAAATTAATTTACAGATTAATTTTTCTACTTACATTATATTTTAGATTATTTAAGCAAAATAAAAGTTAAAAGACTATTATGAGGCATTGTACGTTGCGTGCAACTTTTAGTATGGAGTAATGACGCACTGTGTTATAAAATATTATTTTAAAAATATGTGTTATGTTGTTGTTCTATATAAACAATGAGCTTTGTTTGTACGCGAACATCTGATTAAGAAGAATAAGAAGGAAAAAAAAGAATCACATATGGATCGAGTGTTCAGTGAGTATATATGTGCGTGTGTGTGTATGTCTATATATCTGTGATTTTAGCGTACATGTTTTCTGTCGTTAGTGTATCGCAGAAGGACGAGAAAATTTTTCTCATCGTCGTTTACGTTGAGGTCGTCATTATTGACTCATCATCAGAGGAATTTTCAAAAATATCGCCGTAGTATGCGACAATTGTGTTATTGTTTTAACGCACATGGATAAAAAGTTGAAGTATGTGAAATATGAAACGAATGCTTTCTTTAAATTTTTTTTGTCCCATTTATCAAACATGAGTGATTGATATGAAGAAATATTGTAGCTGTATTGATCTATTTGTCGACCTTGACCTCTGTAGGTGGGTGATATCAGCTAAAAAGTTATTATATGAAATACGTTCAGAATAGGAAAGATTTTACACTAAATTCTTCTGATAGCGACTAAAAGATCGTGAAGGATCTGGTGAAGTCTTTGACGAGATTCTGGTCGTATCGTCCGACACAACTGAAAAAGATCGGTTACTATGTAAGATTAGCGTTGCCAACCCTCTCGCTCTTTGATGATTTATAGAATCAAGCTAAAATAGAATGTCGCATACAAAAAATGCAAATTATACAATGGAAAATCGTTTTGATGATGTGCGACCGTATATGAAATCGATTGGCAGATAGAAATTTGTAATGGATTTTAGAATGAAATTTGAATTCATTATGGATGTAAGAAAAAAAAAGCATGATATTTTTTGTTCACTTGAATGCTTTATAGCTACCAGTTTTGTCGTTATTTTCGTTCGACTGTTCGTGATAGAAGTTAGTTTATGATATTTTTTTCATCCATGAATTACTACCTAATCATAGAATAATTGGTTCAATAACTATAACGCTATCACCTTCGTAACGAGTAGCTCTTAATCAGGTGATCATTTCGCATTTTAATAATAACTTTTATTCCTTAAAGCCCGAGCAGGCAACATTTTGATGAAATATACCATAAAATTCTCTACAAAAAACGTAGAGTGTTTTTCCTGCGTAGAGAACTACTCCAGAAGTATTGAGAAGCCCAAAATGCTCGAATCCAAATAGATGTAGGTGTTTTTCAACCGATACAAGTTGGATGCCTAGATTTTCTCATATTTCAACAAGCAAAGAAAAAA